CAGGATCAGACTCCTTTTTTCCCGTTCATTTATCTATCTACCCTCCATTTTTTTCCCCTCTCCGTTTATCTGTCAATCCTATTCGGAGACAAACTATATAAATATAGCAACTGAGTTCACGGGCGCCGGTATGCGTTGTGTATTACCCCATTACATCACGTCGTGGTATCTTGTTGCCTCCATGTAAGATGAAATGTGGCTGTATCTGTATCTGGTAGCTTTTAAGATTTATGTTCATGACTGCCGGACCATCATCATCGCGAGCCAACCATCTCCAGTCGATGATGCATCATCCTGTGTCTTGATACATAACACGCCCGCGATCAGATCCAAGGCCCTCTGACAGGGAGGTTGCTATAGCGGCACCCATTACGTTGGCGTATGAACGATGACAGAGAAATCACCGCTCAACTGATCAGCCCGGAAGGCTCCAGAACTGGACCTTAGTCGTCGCGTAGACGAGGGTGTCAATCAACCAACAGCAGGATGAGTGCGCAGACTGCCAGGCAAGAGGAGAGGCCATTTGCAGAGTTTGTTGTCGCTCGGTTAGAGGCCAACCAGAATTGACAGCGCCATGGTGCTTGTGTTGACTCGTTACCAGCGGGGGAGCCTCACTTTCGTTCGCTGGCAATCTGCTGCTTAGTCCCCATTTTAAAAGCATAGGAGATATGGCTCTCTCAGTGATCGGTCTGAGTAGCCATCTTCTATGTCTATCAGCATTTTGTCATCCCCATATTCGTACTCTGAAGCCCAGTGATCGGTCTGGGCAGAAGCTTGTGGAATTGGGCGACAACTCATCACGGCAATCTATCCACTAATTTTTGCGGCTTGTGCGATATCCGCCCCTTCATCGCGATCCACCCCTCCAGAAAGGAAGCAAAAACAGACCAAAGGGAAAAGTAAACAAAAGAAAAGCCTCGTCTATTTATCTCTTTGTATATACAATGACATCTATATACATTTCGTCAGCCATTGAATTGGGGGGAAGGGATGGAAAATGGGAAAAGGGGGGAAGAAAAAGAAGGAAGAGGAAAGAAAAGAAAATACGGAAAGAGATCACAGATGAAAATGAAATAAAACGCAAAAAACAAAAAACCCCCCTTGTCCTCACACCCGGCTTCGATGCTGACAAAATCAAGAAAGAAGATCACTACAACATTTAAACATTTGATTGAAATGCGAAAACAACAATAATCAAAGCCAAGATAATAATAGTAATAACAATAAAAACCGGTATACAGAAAAATTCAAATACCGATTTTGACGTGACCCATGACAGTTTTGCCGATGTCCCCAAACCTAGCAAAGGAATAATAAACAGGCATGTAGAGATATGTATGACAACATAAGTAGAGCGCAATAGGAGGGTTAAGACGTTTCTTTGACGTCCTCTCCGGCGCTCAAGCATCCAGCAGCAGGGCAAGAAAGGAAAGAAGACATAAAAAAGCCCTTTTCAGAGCGGGTAATAGTACGTCCAAGATAAAAAAAAAGGGGGGGGATATGATCATACTCCCCCTGATTTCGAGTGGTCAGCCTCAGGACTGAAAATGACCGTGCCACTGAAAGTCAATTTGTCTTGCTAGATAGATGAGGGGCTTTCGTAAATATTTTCGCTGAGTCCTGTGGGGTGTGTGAAGAGTTGGCAAATTGGTGTATATTTACATAATGCAGATTCAGTCGATAGGAAGATAGATGGTGTTCAGATGGGCAGAGTCTCCACGTTCAAGGAAAAGAGCGATGGAATAAATGTGGCAACGTATTCGGAGAAAGTAAACATATGCAGTGTCGGATCAAGACCGGCAACGATGAAGGATTTCAGGAACCATCGAGTCGTTTTGGGAAGCTGGTCCCATTTCCTTGGGTAATAAAATCGCATGATTGATCGATGAGGACTAGTAATATATTTGACCAAGAGTTCCAGATCCGGCATTCGTCGTCGATGTTTGCTCCGGCTGTGGGTTATCTTGATCCAGACTGGTTCTCGTCTGCGACAGCCCGCTTTCATCGGTATATTCAGCGTCGAAGCCTGGTAACGTTAACGGCATATTGATTCCCATGCCGTCGTTCGCATTTGACAGCTGGTCGGCTCCCAGGTTGTGGCTATTACTCCCAATGATTTGTCCGTTACTGCTTCCGAGAGCAACTGCTGGTACACTGGCTTCAAAGCCCATGCTAGTACAAACTGGTCCAGGAGCATTATCCCAACTTTCGTCCCAGTTGTCTAATCCCAATGCCAAAGCATTTTGGTCCTTCAGCCACCAATCTTGACTTGCCTCAACTAAACTCTCCATACCACCTAATGCAGAAAGCTGCGGTATACTCAGATTAGACAAGCTGTTGTTCTTAGTGGACATGTCCACTGGGGACTGCGGGGTATTTGTCCATGGCTCATGTTTTAGCACCGTATCGAGATTGGAACTGTAAGAGCGTTTGGGAGCTGGTACGGAGAACGTATGGTGAGGTAGCAGAGAAGATGGTAAATTTGCCGGATGAGTGGGCTGTTGTGGTGAGGGCTGAGTGGTTGCGGGGGAGAATGAATGATATTGAGAGAACGACGGATTTGGTAGGGGGGTTGAAGCCTGTTTCACAGGTGCAGGTATAGTGGATTTGGAAGACAATGGAACGGGTTCAGGAGTCGTACAGCTTTGAGAGTTTTCTGACCGCTGTCTCTTGCCTCTCTCCCTGTCGGAAGCTTCTGAGTTCGACGGAGAATGAACCTGGTCCCACGACCCCCATGGTCCAAATTTGGCGTGTGAACGTTCCAGAATTGCCACAGCCTCACTTGGCAAATCGACATTCCACTTTTGGGCGGACATGTCGAGGATCCGTAAAGTCCGACGGGCACAAAGCCAGCTTTCAGCAATTTCCTCCAGATTCTTAAGACCATGGATGAGGTCTCGTTTCGCGGTTTTGTCCGGAAGATTAAGTAGATGAATTGTGCAAGCAGAATGAGCAATGTACACAGAAATGTTACAGATTTGGCGGAATCCATAGGTGCGCTTGTAAAGTCGAAGTAGTTTGGATATCGTAGATGCGGACTGCGTACACAGTTTTCTAGGTTACACATGGGGTGGAAGAGGAGAAGTAGATTTTGTATACTTGAGGAATGGACGATATAGGTGGATGAAGAGGAGTTGGAAGAACATGCTGGGGAGTATTGTCAGTCGGGAGCAAGTATAATTTGGTTGGAGCTTGGGTTGTTTCGAAAGACCTACTGCATGAGTAAAACCTGGGGTAGCTGTCCTTCCTTGGGCTCCATTTCTTTAGGAAGCCCTTTACGCCACGCTTCAAGCCTTGTATGAAGCTGACTTAGCCGCTTTAGCTCCTCTTGCTTTCCAATATGTCTTTCTACAGGCTTTGGGTGGTAGAAACACGACAGTAAATCGCTACTGATCTCACTTAGACGTAAGATTTGAAGAGAGACTGCCCTTGTTCGAGACGGCTGTATATGTTCACGCGTAACACCTGAATCCGTGTACGGAGACCACATTTCAGCATCCTCATCGGGGAAGACATCGAACTTGGGGAACGGAGATGCTGGAGCTCAATAGTTGGGGTTTGGCGTCCTAGGTAATTCGACCAGCATCTGCTCATACGGGCATTTAGTCAAATCAACAAACGACTAGGATTATATATTTCATAGAAGACAGCTCACTTGGTCAAAAAGGAAACATCCCCAGAACGACATCCTTCGCGCTTGATATCCTCCTCAGTCAGGGGAATGGGAAAGCAATCCCTGCACCATCGAGGTTTCAAACCTAAATCATACGCCATTCGGGAAAC